GATTAGCCCTGGAAATATTTCAGTGTGAGTGTGCGACTTGGTAGGGGAAGAAATGGGCTTACGTAACTGAATCGAACTGCAAGGGGAATACCGGGCTAAAGAGAGAGAAACTACCTTGCTAATTACATTAGTGATCAGGAAACTGTGTAGGTACGTCTGAATAGATCAGAACACAGACGGCTGTTACGTATGACCCTTGGGAATAGCACTTTGACTAGGAAAAACAGTTACAGAGTGGGAGAAGAAAGCTTGTATGCCAGGAGAGTGCCTTTTTGTCTCTTACCCTGTTATTCTTACCAAGCAGTACTTCAGTGGCTGAATAATCGAGGTCTGGAGCCCTCAGTACAGAATCCGTCACAAAATGTTTGAAGATAATTAGCCGAAAGTTAGTAACTCTCTTGTAACTCAGTAGAATAAATGGAGACTGATTTGTATTATTTCTCCTCCTACCTGTTCACCTTACTACCTATTTATCTTAAAAATACTATTTTCAGGGTAGTTTACTTAACCTCATGTATAATATTAAATTGCAGGTGATTCCTTCCCTGTGTAACAACACAGCTTTGTGAACAAAATGACCTGGACTTGTCTGATTAACTTCATCCGAAATTGACAGTGAATCAAAGTTGAGGATGTTTGTGCTCCGCAAGGCATACTTGATGTTTCCCCCAGTAGTTGGCAAGGAACATGTGAATAGGAAAACAATTTCTCTTTTCCTCCATACTTCAACTATAAAATTACAGAAGAGCCTAAGTTTGAGTGTTGGTGGGGTTTTTTGTATTATTCAGTAAATGCTTTTTTAAGAGCTCAAAGATCTTGTATGTGGAACTGGAGGAGAGCATGCAAAAAAGATTGAAGAAGTAGGAGGGAGCAAGACAAGAATCCCCAAACAACCCTTAAAAATTTTATATGTGCTAGAAGAAGCTGACCCTGTGTGTAGCCCCTTTACTTGCTCCACAGGCCCGTTGCAGAGCATCTATCCTTTGGCAACGTTTCCTGATCTGGCTGTTTCTAAACTCTCTGACAGCTGCCTCAACTGAGACTTGAATAAGATTTGCATTTCCATGGGGTTTTAGCTTGTGATCTGCATTTTCGTGAGACAGTCACTGGCGTTAAGCCTTTTCAGAAAAGGACTGCTAGGAAGGACTGTGCTATGATGGCAGCTTAGCTTGTCTGCACTAGACAACTGTTGCTTTTTATTTTTATTTCTTTCCAAGGTGGAGTACAAGAATAAGGTCGCGAAAGACTTAAATGGACTTCTGAAGGTGAGTTCAAAATGTTACTCAAATTTAATTTAGTAGCCTAGAGCAGTCAAATTGCTATATTGCCTCTATGCTGTTGCTTGATCAGAAAATAAAGCTACTCTTAAGATTCTGTTTATGGAGTGAATAAGGATTAATTTATCCCCTTTACTAATGCAAACATCCATACACTTCTATTGCTACATCTTGCAGTTAGACATTTAATTATTAAATTGTACACAGTGTATGTCTTTGCACTAGTAATAATATTGTTGATTCTTAGTTACAGACATGCAATATTCCTGTCTCTCACTGGCTTATTGCTAAGTGTGCAAAACTAGTATTTCAAGCATTGCAGTGGGTGGATGTGAAAAACTGAAGTTTCAAAGCCTGGCTGGCTGAAGTCTCTTTGTATGGGTTAAACTTGAAGAACAACAAGTGATGGAAAATGAGAAAAACAGAATATGATTATTTCTATCTTGAACCTCTGAAAGGAATTAGTGATGTTTTGGCATGATGTACTTTTGCATGTTAAATACTTTTATTTTTTCTTTTATGGGAAGCTGGGTAACTGCATTAGGAGTTACTCATGTTGAATAAAAGTGAAGGCTGTACATTGCAACAATGACTTTTAAAAATAACCTCTCCTGCACTGAGCTGTGAAATTTGCTTTTAAGACCAGCATCTTGCTAACATTCCTAAGAAGAATATATGTGCCAGTAGGAAATGGCAACAACTAAATGTAAGAAGAAAAATACAGAATAAGCTCTTCAATGGAGAAATACTTTAATCTTGAAATTATATAAAAATTGTGAACACTGGCTTTGAAAAATCAGCTTTTTTTTTTTATTTGTAAGTTGTTACTGCATACTTTCTGAGAGGACTCTTGGCTTCTGTCATTCAGAAGCCTGAGTTGCTTAGCATTTTCTGTCTTAGGATTTTTTTTCAGTGTGCTGATTTAGTAGATTTGGGAGCAAGCAGTCATAAGGTTATGGTATTAATTTGACTTGATTTTTATTTTTTTAATGTTCTGTTTGTATTTACTTTGACTAATTTTTTGCAAAATCTATCTTTACTTGTGTCTTCTGTTATGATACAAAGATAGAAATGGATGAATTGTCTGAAACGTGACAAAAAGATGGTTATTAACAAATAGGTTACTTGCAGCGATATAAGTTTAAAGTGGGAAGTCATGAAAGACTCCACTAAGCACTTAAAATAAGTGAATAAAAATCCCTATGTTTAAAATTCCATATATTTTAACAGGGTTTCTATTTTTGACTCTTTACTTCAACTACCTTTATCTGTTTCTATATCCCACATAATGTTATTAGGAGTAAACTATCCTGCTAATACAGCTGCCTACATGAATCTTAAGTGTTATTTGTGTACACAAGAAATGCTATACTTAGTGTGGCTCTGTAATACCACAGAAAATATTGTCAGCCATATGCATAAGTGTTTCTACAAGGTTATTTCTCATGTGTATGGCAGGATGGCTGTATACTGGATTAACTCGGGTTCTAGTGCGCTAGGAAGCTGGCCTGGGTACATGGGAGTTGTTTTGCTGCACGCTATTACGACATAGTCAGGAATAAGATGTTAACCAAATTTATGGAGAAATTATTTTACAACTTGCAGGACTGTTCGTGAGCTGTCTCTTTGTGTGTCTGGTATTAATGCAAAAATATACCCTTGTATCCTAAGAAAAGAAATCCAATAACATCTTTCAGATTAACTACTGTAACTGCAATGTATTTTTTAATCATTTTGTGTTTGCAATGTTGAAATAACAAAAGGAAGAAAAATGGAGGCAGAGACCATTTTAAGTCTTAGGCAGCAACTCAAGGAAGCGGAGAACGAGCGAAGAAAGGCAGCTCAATATGGCTTGCATTTATTGGAGTCCCAAAGTGAAGTTCAAAATCAGTTGGATCAAACACGCCGCGAATTGACTGAGCAAACTGAGGTGAGGTTTTAAACTTTGAGTAAAAAAAAAAATAAAAGGCAGTCAAGAACTTTGTTTTATTTTAACTATTTTCTGAATGTCACAGGTGTTTAAAATGCCTTTTAGAATCTAGATTAATTTTAATAAACCTTTTGGATTTAAGTATTTGTAGAGAGGGCTTTTTATCTCTGCTCTAAGATTTTGGGCGTATCTTTAACTGGGACAGGTTTCATAGCTAATTATGCATCAAGTTTTCAGTACTGTGTAGGATTAATAGCCTTTAATGTAAAATGAATACTATCTGCTAAAGTAGATTTGGTTTTAGGTTATGGTGTTTTGGGTATCTTTAGCAATTCATGTTTTGCTGTCCCTGCAAGTTTTGTATCACTTAAAGCTGTAAAAAGAACACTAGTGGCAAGACTAAAATTGATTTCTCCTGTAGCGAAGCTTTTAAAATTTTCTAAATATACCAAGGGATTCCAAGTTTGTTAGTAAATGTCTTTACAGCTCAGAAAAGAGAGTAGTGTGGTGTTGAAATACAGAGGTGGTATTTAGACAACCAGTTTTCTTGGTAATTGTGCAAGAAAACTCCAATCAGGAAAGTGGCTCCTACTTTTCATAGATGCTTTGATTTTGATGTTTGTTTTCAATGAGGCCGTGCTTCAGTGATAACATTTCTCTTTAGTCTGTTTCTGCTGTGCACCCATCCCTTCCCTTGTGATAGCACTAAAATGTTTGTTGTTCTGTTGTAGTTCCTGTTCTGGAGAGCTGTAGCACCCCGCTATTCTGAACGAACCCTCATAACTTGCTGTGAGGGGTTTGCTGTTGGTGAGGCAGCTGGCCAGCACAAGTGCTACGGCCAGCGGGGCGGGATGGTGCTGTCCTGCAGACAGCCTGAGGTGACAGCTGCTGTGTCGTGAAGCTGCACCCGCCGGTTGTAAATCGGGTCTTACAGGCGGGAACCAAGTTATGAGCGAGGCTTGTGTGAAGCAGCTCAATTAGTAACTGGGATTCCGAGGGCAGAGGGAAGGAACTCTGCTTTCATACAGTAGGATAACAACTTGTGTGGGAGCTGTGGTTATCCAGAGGATTCTTTTGAGCTTTTGAATCTGTGGCTCTCCTCTCTGCTTTGGCATGAGAGCCAAAGCAATTACCCTGAACACAAGTGTGTTCTAACAGCAGGCACAAGAGTCTTCCAGAAAAATCTCTGTGTGTAGACATACCATGCTGGATTTGTCTGTCTTGGGTCTGGCCAGCAGTGCGCTCCCAAACCCTTCCCATGCACTGTCTTTGTTTCAGTTAAAACTCTTGTCCTGTAGATTTGAGAGCTATGCCTGTCCTTGATAAGCCGGTGTCTAGGTCCATTTCATACCTGAGAGCTTCTAGTTTTGTTATGTTCCTTTGTTGTAATTCTGGTTTGTGTTTTAAGAGTTATTAAAAAAAAGAATCTTGCATCTTTAGACTGATCTGGTTTTGGTATTGACCTTTTCTGCTTTCAAGACTCTCCCTTTTTTACTTTTTTTTTTCCTTCTCCTTAATTTCCAGCTGAATGGTAGAGTAAAATGAAGCTGCCCTTTATAATTAGGAAACATCTACAATCAGGCATAGAGGGAAGCTGATTAAAGAGTCATCCTTCAGTCTGGAAGGGTTGATGGGATTTATTACTAAACAGTAGACAATTTAGATGTCTTTACCAAGCATTGAACCCAGCTGTTCTGCAGTAGGGCAGCACTTGATGGATGTTTTTAACATAATCGAGTTCCATCGTGGTAGAAAGGACATGGAAGCTCTCACTGAATTTGTTTGTTACACTTGTAGAAGAGATGCCCACACCCTTCATGATGGGCGTGAAGAAATACACAGTTGCCATGAAGAAAATATTACACAACCAAATAAGTCGTAAAATTTCAGACCAGTTTTTTGTGGTTAGTGTTGTTTTTAATTTTTTTAAAACATGGGTGTGACAATTCCCTAATTGGGACTTCAACAAAAGGTTGAATGAGCTACAAGTTTTAGGCATTTAGTGCCCTGGTTCTGAGCCTGTGTTTGGTTCATTGTTCCCCAAGCATTTGTGAATATTGCATCTAGATTTATTAGTATGATTATTTCTTTCAGAAATTTGAACAAGAGAAATACTCTCTTCAGAGAGAAATTGAACTCAAGAATCGAATGTTGGAAAGCTTGAGTTTTGAATGTGATTCCCTTAAGCAACAGCAAAGCATGCAACTGGATAAACAGAAAGAACAGCTTGCCAGAGTCTATGGACAAGAAATCAGTGACCTTAAAAACAAGGTTTGGCAACCAATATACAGCTAAAATGTAAATGGTTGTAATGTGTAGGAGCTTGTTTGGTGGGATTTTAACAAACATCTGCAGAGTTACATTGTGAATGACATAAAATTTCAAAGCTTATTTTTAAAAGTTTACTCAAGTTTTATTTCTAAGGCATTTCCTGTAATTAGAACAGAATCGAAAGTATTGTTATTCTAAGAATTTATTGTAAATGGTACTACTTGATTGTCAACTGTCTTTAAGTTGGAGAACCTGAAAGCAGAACTAGATGAGACCCGACTGTCAGAGAAACAACTGAGACACAAAGTGGATCATCAGAAGGAGATAATTGCTGCCAAATCAGAAGAACTACATATGATGTCTGAACGTGTGCATGAGACCATGTCTTCGGAAATGCTGAATCTTCAGATAGAACTCACTGAACTAGAAAGTGTGAAGGTGTGTGGCTAGTACTTAATTATTAGGGATGTTTGCTAGTGGAAGATAAAATTCTGTGCTTTTGCTAATTTTGTGTTTAGATGCTTGGTGTACATTGCCATCTTATGGTTAGCTTACTGTTAAGACAACATGCACAGAAAAAAAATAATAGCCGTAATAGCTAGACTTCAATACAGTTTCTTTTCAAGATACTGCTTTTAATACAAAATATTTACTACTAACAATCCTGTTTGGCTCATTTGGGCCCACTTTTCTTCAAAATGTTTCAAAAACTTTTTTCATACTTGATTGTTTTTTTTTTAGGCCAATGTTGAAGAAAAGCTGAATGAACTGCAGTACAGTAAAGAACAATTAGAACTCCTAAACAGTAACCTACGTAATCAGCTGGAGCGTCTACAAGGAGAAAAAGAAGAGAGGGAAAAAGAAGTTGTTTCTTACTGTAATGCATTACAGGTATTCTCTTAATTTTAATCAACAGAAGTAGATTTTCCCTGAATTCCACAAGTTGTGCTGCTGGCTTTTCAATGAAATAAAAGAGTTTTGAGAGAAGAGTTCTGAGGAGGGAGGGGCAAAAAA